CCACTGAACCCCTTGGTGCCCAAGCTGATCTTTTCAAGCCTCAGAGCTTTAACGAGGCCCTGCGAGATGATGTTCATCTCTGATCCTTGGTCTGCCTGCGAGATATGCTTTGGCAATGCAACTTTTATTATTTTCCCGTTTGCTTCTGCGCGCGCTACAACAGGAATTCGAAAAGCTTTTGTTTCCTGGCTCTTCTGGACCGACCGAGCCAGACCGTTATCGGCCGCACTTGAGAAAAATTGTGCTGGCACTTGCTTCCCTTTCTTCTTGTTCATCCTCGTTGAGAGTCTTCGGAATTCCTTTGCCGTATCTGGACTCACTTGCCAGAGCTCAAGAAGATTTAGAGGTATACATATTCTTCTCGCCAGTTCCACATAATCCATAGGGCCGCATCCCTCTCTGCCCACTATCTCCCTCAAATGCTTTAGAATCCGCTTTCCTTTTCTTGCCGGTTTTATAGGCCGACATATTCCAGGATTTTCATCCTCATTGACAGGCTCGTTGGGCGAATTATTGCTAAGGATATCTTCTATATCGATTCGTTGCCTCTTCCTACCTGGTCCAGAGCTGAATGATTGAACCTGTGTGCCTAGTTCGCAGGCCTTTGATTCAGTGTGTTGCCAATGATCATCTGGTATATCGATGTCGGCAAACTGACTGAGTGAACAGTCCGCATCTCTTTGATCCGCGAAATGAACTTTGGGCGGCGCTCTCCAAGATCCCTCAGGTTCATCTCTATGCGTCTCCTGACTCTCAGTCCTTGCTGGTGGGTGATTCCGGCTGTGTTGACTTGAACCGTAGTTTTCTGGCCTATATCCAAAAGCGGAGTTCAATTGAGGTTGGTCTGGGACATCCATATAGTTACCATTCATTCCTCGAGATCTAGAGGAATAATTTTCACTTAGATTGTGCAAATCAGAGTGAGGATTTAGTGGACGGTGAAAATCTTGACTCTCTTTCCACCTACCGTATCTATGACCGTAGTGTACCGAGTTTGATTCTCTCGGAGGTTGAGGGCGATCATATATTAAATTCTTGAGGTGAATTTGCTCCCAGTTCTGAAGTTGCAGATTCTGACATTTCGGTTTAATATGCCCTACATGGCCACATCCAAAACACAACGGTCCATCACTCGCCTTGTAGATAGCAGCTCCATTAACAAACGCATTCTTAGACACGTTCCCAGGATTATATGTGCTCTGACGATTAGTGGTGTTTCCTCCAAGAGTCTGATGGGCAGGAGGTGAGTCCTTATTGGCATGATTGAACCCGTTCCCAAACTGTTGTTGTTGATGATGCGGAGGCCGAGGTTGATAATATGAGGCTTCATTGCTGAAGCCCTGCCTTGGCTTAGGTACCATTATCCTCCCAGAACTTAAGTCTGCAAGCACAGATGAGACGGATTTCCCGTAATGAGATGAGCATAGATCTCGAATTTGCGCCATTTCGTTCCTCTCAGCGGCTCTTTCTCTAGCTTCCTTAGCCGCATCTAGACTTTGCTTAACCCCAAGGATTATTTCTTGACATCTCCACATTGAACCGCATGATAGCGCGGACCTGGAAAGCGCTTCACACCTGACATCTTCTTCACGAAGCCCATTGAGGAACGCAAGGATAATGGAGTTGAGCACTGTTTGCTCAATAGGAATCATTGGTCTGCCCAGAGCTGCTGTCCTTGGGGCATCCCTTCCGTGTGACCGACGAAGAATGTGTAGCCCACGCTGATAGTATGCTGTCAGTGGTTCAGCTTCCTTCTGCATAAAATCCTGGATATCATTCTGCAGGTTCCCTTCGACGTGATTTACCAACTTGGCGGGGAACATTTCAATTAGCTGTTGTTTAAACTCAGCCACCTGCTCATCTGTCGAATTCTGCCGGTCGTCAATGAAGGCCCTTAATTCCGGAGTTGAATCAAGCCATCCTGCCGCTTCGTCTTCAAAAAGGATATCAATCGCGAAGAAAAAATTTTCTGGTGAGACCGTCGTATGCCCCGCCGTCCTGAAATCATATTCGAGTCGTGACAGCCACCTTGCTCCGGAGTTTCCTTCTCCAACAAACCTTCCCGCCTGTTCAAACTTTGGGAGTGTTCGATTTGCCATTCCGAGTTCCTCTTCATCAATCCAGATTCTTTCCAACTCAGCACGCAATTCACTAAAATCAAAAGCCGTTTTTTTTTTTTTTTTTTTTTTTTTTTCTTTGTAATCTTCCTTATTCTTCTGTTGTTATTTTTCCACCTTCTTCTACACCAATTCCAGATCACAGATGTTAGGCCGATAAGTTAACTTAATAATGGGGCCTTCGTAATTGATTCACACTTGAGGGTCAACACTTGAACGAAACGGGTTTCTTTAACAGGCACTGTGATGACGCGTTTCGACCCAGCAGCACAAAACTAGGTCGTAATATGTATATAGACCACCGAGCTGCCAACTAAATTTCAGGATGAATTTTCAGCCTGTGGACTCGAGATAGCTCCCAATAACAGTTGACTCCCATTCAACGCGTGAGATGATCTGCTTCGATAAATAGACCGTATCCACACGACACGATTACTAATAGTCACCACCTGACGTCTCGATACCGATGATATAAAGTAGGTAGATAGTTAAGATCAAAGTAGACAATGACAACGACCCGAGGAAAATCCCCTGTGCAGGTCACCAGTAAATTGTCTTGAATAAAAGTGGGAAGGGGGCATTCGTTTCATTCTATGGAGACAGAGAATCTAAGTACAGTATGGCGATCCACGGTCCACCCGGCAACCACCAGACCAACCCCTTAGGTCTGGCTCATTAACTACACCCTCATTGAAACTTCACACCACTATCAATTCATCCTTTATTCTAGAAAAAAATGTCTCTCGAAAAGTCTGCTTTAGAAACAAAAGTTTGCAAGCATCTAACTTGCGATCAATGTATTGAAAGAAGAACATCAAGAAGACTTGGCTAGACATTACAACATATACCCGACGAACTTGACTTCTTAAGAAGGCAAGTTCAACTTGCGTGTGCTCGAGAGACTGAGTATCCAATTACTCGCAAAAGATGCTTATCTAAATTAAGCGCGGAACAAGTCCATGAGCTTGAGGCTTTCTTCCGGCAATCTCCTGAAAATCGACAGATATGCCATTTGGAACTAGTAATGGGACCCTTCAGCCACTGGGGATACAACGAGCATTAAATTTCAAATGCCCTCAATAAAATAGCTTACAGCAGATGCATTGCTATGAAGAGGCCTCTGTTAAGTGTGATTAAAATGCACGAAAGATTTATAGCGGTGATAAAGGTAAATGGAGGATACACAAAGTGTTAAGATGGAGCAGACTAATGCAAAACATGTAGCACGCTTTCATTTCACTTGTGAGCGCCATACTGAGAACTTCGGTGTATACTTTGTAACACAGAGCAGTTATTCTTGAAATAGGTGTATATTTTTTGATAATATGAATCGATTTTTTTCTAATTTTAAATTTTGAATGAGGACCATTATACTTTTCCCAAAGGATTGAAAACCGTACCCATAAATTATACATTAATGGAATATCACTGGATAGTACCCCTGATTGCGTAACTAGTCGATAAACTAGACATGGGTTTGAATGAAGAGTAAACCAATCAAATCAAGATGTACAGGGATCTGAGCCCAGTCATTTTAACAATTGCACAATTTCAATCCATAAGAGACTGCAAATGCCCAGGGACTAGGACGCAACGTCAACTGATACGGCTAATAAACTAGGAAGGTGACATCTGGCACAAATTTCGTGTGAGGTATTTATTATTATTTTATTAATTCCTTTTATTATCCTGTCTGAGTCTATGACTATGTAGGACATGCAAGTCCTCTCTGCCTACAGGCCAAAGATACCTATACCAGTAGTATATCCCCTCCTATGCCTCCCATACAGCTCCCCTCAAACAGTACCACCCCTCACAAGTCCTCATTCGATCATACACTAAGAGGAGCCCTTTGCCCTTCATGATCTCCCCTCTCCAGCCAACGAAAAGATGGCCATTTGCGGGTGTATGGCAGCCGGGAAAATTCGCAAAAACCACTGGGTGCGGGGCTCTCCTAATACCGACATTAGAACTAGATCCGAAGACGTAGTGCCCCTTCCGAAGCGTTCGAAGAGGCCGGCCAGCTGGGCGCTGCAGACTTGTGGGTACCTCGGGAAATTCACCCTCTGCCTTTCTAGCCTCCTTGCAACTCCTTCCCGAAGGTCGTGCCGAAATGTCAGAAAAGTCTTGACAGAGCGTGATTGCTGTATAGTAGCTTAGCCTAACTTCTTTTGTGCCGTCCAGGGCGCTGGGGAGTGCCGTTGACTCATCGACAAAAGAAGCCCTCTTGGCTAATTAGCCGAAATCTTGGTCTTGGCGCCCACAAAAGATCCAAGGTTGAAAACTCCTCGAAAATGTCAGTTCCAGCATGGTCTTCAGAGACCACTTTCCCCTCTCGCTCTACATCTCAGCAGCCTGTCCCTCCTCAAGTTGTATAACCCCACTAGAGCATTAGTCCCCCATGAAATAAGATCTCAACTTTGTATACTATGACTTGATTTCCTCCTTGCTGGTATACGTAGTGCCGTAAATTTGTAGTGAGTGATGGCCGGTAATCAATGAGGCAAGCTCCTGTTTGTAATTGGGTTGACGTCATTACAGGTCGTTGAGGCGAGATGATGCATAGTTAGAGAGAGGTTGAGGTATCAGATGAGTGTGGTATGAGAGGCATTGCCGAGAAGCCGTCAAATGAAGATATGTTTGTGGTTGCTTTCGACTTTGATTCGAATGCGATCCTTCTTGGCTATCCCAGACATGCAGAGCATACTGAGCGATTACACCGGCACCACTGGAAGGTGAAGAATTCGTCTTTGCCGGCTCGTATGAGGTGAATAAGGATAGATTCGCGATTGGCCCCCGCGTTTGCCATACACTTCCCCACCAGATATTGAGATCTTTCACACTGCACCATTTCCCCAATCATTCCCAGCTTTATTCGACACCATGTCTAAGTTCCAAGAGCTTTATACCTATCAAGAGCACAACTCTATTGAGTATATACTCCAGAAATGCAGAAAAAGGATAAGCAAAGGCTCTACCTCTAAATCAGGTAAATATCACCTCCGAGCTCTGCTGCTTTCAACTAACTCAATAGTTCTTGATCGACTGTATCACGATTTATTTAAATATACCAGTCCATTACAAAGGAACTCGAACATGGTGGAGCCACGTCGGATATTCAACACTACCATGAAAAGAGTCATTGACGGAATTGATGATCTCGAAATGTTTAATCAACTTATTCAACATATTCGAGACAATAAAAATGAGCGAGATATTTTACAATTAGCTATTGACCTTGGAACTAAATTTATAACTAAATCATCGATGGATACAAAGGATAGTCTGATTACATGGAAAAGAAACACTACAGAAATACTTGGCTTTGGCAAAACTGTCGAACAACTAAATGATATTTTGAAGAAAGAATTACAAGACAACATATTCTGTGTTATCCCTAATTTCTGGGACAATTTCTTCGTAGGAAAGGAATGGACTGATCAGGCTTCCCGAATCTGGGAAAGCTATGAAAAGTATGAAATAGCTGAGAAGCAACTAAGATCAAAAGAACTAGAGGGAAAAAATTCCTCTAAAGATGTCGAGGAACAGAAAACACTCCATGGAGCCAAGGAAGAGAAGATCCTTGAAGAAAACATGACGGAAAGTGAGATATGGGACTGGCTTTACTTCTTCGAGGAAAACTTCTTGAAGCAGCTCAAATGCCACTCGTCAAGATCAACCAAATATCCCGTAGTAATAGAAAGTAAGGGCTCCCTCATACGAGGAAGGTACTGTCGCACAAATAGTACGCAACGTTCTGATGAGTCTGAGGGTAAGACTCAGATTGACTTCTTGATTAAAAGTGTTGATTTACCCAATGATGATGTCGACTGGAAAAATATGAATGTGGGAGGTGAGTTCTCAATATCGCCTAGCAAACAAGTGAGGAAGGACAAGTTTCTCCAGCTTTCGAGATGTGTTCGGGAAGCATATTGTGCTCAGCCCCTGCGTCGGTTTATGCACGGGTTTCTCATGTTCAAAGAAGAATTTGAACTATGGGTTTTTGATCGCTCAGGTGCTTACAGCTCTGGCAGAAAAAGTATAGCAGATGCCAAAGAGATGTTCGTGCGAGCAATATGCTCGTATTTACTGATGAGCGATGAAGAACTCGGCCGTGACTTGTCAATCTCGAAGATCAATGGACAGTCAGCAGTAAGAATAAAAGGTGACAATGAAGAATCGATTCAGTTATTTGATGTCAAATCTTATCCTGTTGTGCGACCAAGGAGCCTGATCAACCGAGCCACAACCTGCTATGAAACGCAGAACAAATCATCGATGATAAAGTACTCGTGGAGCAGGTCTGAAACTAACGCTGAAGTTCAATTTATGAAGGATGCACTTACAGTACCCGGTGTTGTGAAATACATAACATCAGATCTAGTTTACCAGACAAATAATCACCTGGGAAGCCTCAATCTTTCCGACGCCCAGCCTTGTGACTTAAAAGCTGAAGAAATAATAATCTCCCCAGGCACTAATTACCACAATATGGCCCTACCATCCTTGGAGAGAAATCGCTTTCTCTTCAGGATTGTCATGACACCTTGCGGCAGAAAAATTAACTCCAGTGGTTCGATCCTTGCTTTTGTCGTCGGAATCCGAGATGCAATCAAGGCCCACCAGGCGCTTGTTGATAAGAATATTCTACATGGAGACATTTCGGATGGAAATATTATCTTGATAGATCCAACTTTAGATAAAGACTGCCATGGTCTCTTGATTGACTTCGACTGCTCAGTAAGATTGAAAGATAATGTGGCTGAAGATGATGAACGGTTCTTAACAGGCACCCTGAAGTTCATGGCACTCGAGAGATTATTCTCTGATGGAAAACCAAAGGCTATTCGACGGACTTATCGCCATGACTTAGAATCCTTTTTCTATGTGTTCATCGTAGGATCCATAGAATATGAATTCGTCAATGGTGGAATGTCACACAATCTGGATGATTGGTGTGTGAATATAATCAAGCAGTGCTACTCAAATAAACGTGTTCATATATATGAATTCCCTACGCTCCTCAACATGTTCACGCCCAGTTTCAAAGAACTTAAGCAGTTAGCTAAGAATTTACGAACGATTCTATTTGAAGAGGATGGAAGCTATATCTCAACCCCCAATGACCGTGGATCGCTATACCGGAGAATGATCGAAGCGTTTGATGACACAATCGAGGACATAAAAGGTAAGATATATTTATCAATGCATAATAGTACTCTTCTTTTAGCTCGAGCTTTGCTGACAAACTATTTACTTAAAGCTGGAAAGATCAAGAATCCAACTTTCATAGCACGTCGACAATAGATCGCTGTACAGGCTATTGCTCCCAACAATCAGTTTCATAAAATGCTCGTCTGGTAGGAAGAACACCACGTGGCTCCTAGTTGGACGTGTGGACTTACTTCTATGTGTCAAGCAGATGAACGTGTATGCACTAGATATTAATTAGATATAGATTTAGACTTTAATATTTACATTTCTATTTTTCCAATCAATGAGAAATGGCAGGAGTTATGGTAGTATCATGTCTACTAACTTGTAACACATCTACGTTGGATTTTACGACGTCAGTAAGACCGTACTAAAGCGTTAGCTATCAACAAGTGTTGAAAATCTTACAGTCCTCCGACTGTTACACTAGTCATACACTATCTATTCTCTGAAATATGAATTATTCATAGCGCTTTTCACGAAATATGTTGGAAATTGTGGCATGGGCATGATTTTGTCTTACACTCAGCCGGCTTTGGGGTCTACCGGTAATCAAGACATACTCACATCATAATAATGTCGCCATACTGGGACATGTGCATATCCGGGGTTTACGTAAAAATTCGTCCCACTAGGACCAATTCCTGTATAAATGTATTGTCCTACAGAAATCTTGAGTCGATTTGATGAATTGATTGTCTCTGAAGATTATATTCATCGCTCCTCTCGTCAACTCCACAGCTTTACATCTAAAGCTCTGTTCACTTGCTACTTTGCTCGAATACCACTCTTCTTTCCTCTACAACAGACCGAAATCCCTCTCAAATTTTAACCTCATAACAACAAGCCTGTAACTTGACAACCTTAATCAGGTGTCGGATAGTTTACACTCTACACCCGCGAGTAATGCGGTGGCTGGCATGATAACATGTATCTCAATCGACACCAATGATCGAGATCTGTAAAAATGTAGGAACATGTCGGTACTAACTTAGTGTCTAGTGGGGAACTTTATTAGAGTGAGACGTACGTGTTTAGTAACAACAAAGTAAGGGAACTCAGTGGTACTTAAGCACTGAGATGTGCCACTTTGGTTTGATCACATAACTTCTTGCCACTTTCTTATCTACCAATTAAATTCAGTCCAAAAACCCTCTGAAATGATATTTCGTCAGAGTCCGCCAACTATTTTGGCACTTCCAAATTTAACCTTGATTTTGCAATCTACACATCAAGTTCGGACGAAGCTCATTAAATAAATATTTGAGGTTTGCTAGATCAAAATTTCAGTTTATGTATTGTAATCACTAAAGGCCAGTAGCTGAGGCACCCGATCTTTGCCAGGAAGCTGCGCAGCGCTCCACGCTGCTTTTTTTATCTTTTTGATACAGTGAATCTCACTTTTTACACATTATTGACCATCGTTACGTCATTTCGATTTCCATGCTCTTACATGATGATTGTGGGTGCTGGTGTAGGTAAATCCAGCGGTTTCGACGCGTCGCAGAGGTGGTGTTTTCTAGTATAGTTTGAGTAGCCTGAGTACCTACTCTACTTGGGAGGGAGACATCCAAGACCATATTTCGCGCGGAGAAATGTGAACAGATGATGAGGGCACGTCTGGGTAACTCAGGGTTTTTGAGACGTTCCCCCGGGCAGGTATTCACGGATGAGGGTTGACTTGGGGTGAAGAAAAAGCCGCCATAACTTTGCAATGGTACTTGCAAATAAAATCTAAGGCATGAGTGCCTTACCTTTGTATTAAGTCATTTGTAGATAGCTGCATACGCAATTAAAATCTGATGTAAAAAAATATAGACGCGTCGCAAAAAGCGACAACTCCGACCACATACAACGGCAGCGGAGCGCAGACGGCTCCAAAGGACAGGAAAATTGAAATCCTAGGGAAACTATTGAAACAAGAGATTAATCGTTATGGGCGAGATGGATGAAGAGTACTCACCATCAATTGGGGATGTGAACGAGGCCGAGAAGGCTCTCAACGCGCACAAAAGGGCCTGAACGGAAACGCCCCAGAAGGAGTCTGACAAGAAAACCTCGCAGATACCGTTCGTAATACTGCACCAGGAGTGGTAACAGGGATGCTACAATTAAGGACCTACGCGTAGGCCGGAGCTCCGCAAATGACTAAAACAGCTATGAGTATCAGAATCGACGTTGCGGATAAATTGCAGCATGAAGAGCTGCTGAAAAGGAGAAAGTACACTTTCAAGGAGTATTCGCAATTCGTCAGATGCGCAGTACCGACACTGAGGTGTTTGTCCAATCGGCGTCCAAGTGAGATGCGGCGTAAAATACACGACAACCAGCCTACTTTAAAATTTTGCGGCAAGACTTTCCAATCGAGCTCTCTGGGGTGTCACTGCGGACAAGATGAGGGCCATAGAGATGCCTTACTACGCTATCATCAGGGGGATTGAGACGGCAACTAGAGCCCGGATTCCTGGCCTAGCGATAAATCGCATAAGGTGGTTACATGACGGAAATGAACACGCGCAGTCAAAGAAAAACGACTGCATTCCTGTATCAATAGTGGTCAGCGTCCCATCGGAGGCAATACAAACGAAAGTGGCTCGACATATCCTTGTCATTAACGTTATGCTCTTCGCCGAGCAAGTGTAGTCACCGCGGGCCCAACCAAAGCTTATCGACTTTAAACTTGTTTGTCGACTTGTGTCACGGTTTCATAACAAAATGCATGGGCAATCTTGTAGGTACAGTATATTAATTATAATTCTCTAGAGAGAGAATTCTAACAGCTAGTGACTACAAATATATATAATCCAGAATACTCCTCCTTCCATAGGATTCCCTCCATGACCAGAATTGTTTGGATTCTTCGACAACTTCCAAGAAGATTCTGGATTACACCATTGATCTCATTGCCTGCGCTAGCTAGCGTAGGCTACAGGGATAATTAGGCTTAACAGCCGTTACAATCCCCCTTCTCTTCCTCAATGAGTAAATATTTTATTTAATTTTCTTATTTAATGCTTTTTTTTTTTCGTCGTTCCCTCCGCGTTTTCTGGACATGAGGCTCGGCCTGGCCAACGTATCTACCTGAGTATATTTCCGAAGGGCCATCATTTGAAGTTATGGGACCATAGGTCTCCTCAAATATTTTTAAAGCTTCGGTGTCTGCCACGTATTCAATGGGCTCCCAAGTTGGTTCTGCCCAGCCAGTCCACTTAACTAGGGCTTGCCTGAAACTACCACGGCCACGTCTCACTGTTCTCGCTCGTATTATTGAGTCCACTCCAAATTCTTGCTCGCCCAGATCGTCAAGGATAGCGGGATTTTGTGCATCGTCCCGCCGCTGACTCGGAAAGGGATCCGCACCCGCCCGCTTCACCAATTCGACATGAAAGCGGTTGTGGATGTTTCCAGGAACGTTCAACTCCACAGTCAAAGGATCTGGGACCGCGGTCACATCGTACTTTGCATGTATCCAGGCTAGCTTCTTGGAGAGCTGTGGTGTTTTCACGTTTCGGAGATCCAACCAAACCTTGTCGCCAACTTTATACTGATCTGGTTGTCTTCGGAAGCGATTTGCATTACCCTCGTTTCGTTGTTGAGCTGAAGCCATTGCTGCCTGTGCATAGTCTTGCGCGTCCTTTAACCTTTTAACATAATCCTGAGCAGATAGTCGTCCCGGGTGTCGGGAACCATTCTCTAAGATAGGCGTAGGCTCTGCCAGAGGGTCCAAATCGTATCCGTGCCGTAAGAAGAATGGGCTTAGTCCTCCAATCGCTGAACTTGGTCTTGAATTTAGTGCCAGTTGGGCTACAGGCAACAGTTCCATCCAATTATCTTGTGAGTAGCAGGTAAACGCTCGCAGGTACTTGTACAATTCCTGATTTGCTCTTTCACTTGCGTTTGACTGAGGATGGTACGCCGTGGTCAAGCGTTGAGTTATTCCTGTTAGCTTGCAGAAAGTTTGCCAAAAGGTTCCCATCCAGTCACTGCCTCTATCACTTGTCAAATAACGTGGAAAGCCAAAGTAACGATAATATCGGTCGACAAAAACTTTAGCGCTTGGTGCAGCCTCCATTGTCTTTGTACCAAATAGAAAAACGTCTTTAGATAGCCGATCTGTTATAACCATTATATTTGTACAATCTTGAGAAGGTGGCATATCAGTAATAAAATCAATTGTCAGCTCGCTTCCTATTCGGTCAGGAATTGGCAGTGATCGAAGAAACCCAGCCTTCGCCTCTCGCCATACTGTCGTACGACCACAGACATCACAATTCCGTATAAAACGACGGACCGATTCCCTCATCTTTGGCCAGAACCATCGCCTTAAAAGTATGCCAATCATTGTATCTTTGCCCGGGTGACCTGCTAGGTAGCTATCGTGTGTCCGCTGCATTATCGCCGTTCGGAGTGGCTCATAATCGGGAACCCAAATTCGATTTTCCCTTCCACGAAGAACGCTATCTGCGGCAACCGTACACTCTGCAATGTTAGCGGTTAATTTCTGAGCGATATTTGGCGGGAAACTTCTCTCTCCGTGCTGGACAGCATCTCGCGCTCGTCGCCAATCATTATCGTAAATGACTCCTTGATTCCATAATGTTTGAATCTCATCGTCGTCAGATATTCTCGCTGTCGCTGCTGGGTCTGCTGTACCGAGTTGTGCATCGACAGGTAAAGCTTTGACAGTTGGTAACAGTTGCATAATTCTACCCGTGGTTCGTTCGTCATGAAGGCCATGGGGCTGATCCTGATCGCGTCTTGAGAGAGCATCCGGCCGTTCGCAAGCATTGCCAGGTCGCCATTTCAGAGTGAAATTGAACTGATGTAATACATCGTAATACCTGGCCTGCCGTTCATTGAGTAGTCGCTTGGTCATGAAATAGTCTAAGTTCTTGTGGTCGCTCAAAATCGTGAATGGCTTTGCAACAGAACGCAGTTCAGCTTTCCACTCTTGCAGGCACGTGATTATGGCCAGCATCTCTTTGTCGTGTATCGGATAATTTGCTTCCGCTCCGCTCAGTCGCTTGGAGTAGTAAGCCACCGGCCTCAGCCGGCCTTGCTTATCAGCTTGAGACAAACATCCACCCAATGCA